TGTGCCTGGGCACGTTGCCTGGGAGATCACTTACGCCGAGGCCGGCGAAGATGGTGTTTCCTGCAAAGATTATCGTCGTCAATACTTATTGATCCTTCAAGTTTTGGTCTTTTTCAAAGATTCGATTCCCTTACCAGTTTGCATGCCCACAAAACAACTCCATGTGTTAAACGCCACAGAGTCCACCATACCCGTCACGAAGAAACACGCTAGAAGGATCGTGTCCGCCCACCGCGTGTCGACGTCGGATGTCAACCAGAGCCGGAGTCGAGTTGGCAGGGGTAAGCTTGAAGAGGGGAAGCCCTTTTCTAGGTCCATGGGATGGTGCTCTTTGTCAGTCGACAGAGGAGTCTCCATGTCGCTAAGTGTTCGAGAATTTCTGCAATGATAGTTCTGTGTACTTGTAGTACAGCAATGACGACAAGGGCGAAGTGACGTTATAGTTGTGTACAAGTATTTGTACTTGTAAAAGTAGATAAGAGAAAGTTACGCGGAAAGTTCCTCACCTTGGAAGCATCGAGATGGTGTGGAGTTACTTTTGTACTTGAACCATTGCTTTGCAATTTTGTGTCATTTTCGCAAATCATGCCGTGACTCGGGCTTCTTTCTCCCAGCAGGTTCTTCATCACCTTTCTTTTGCCTCGGTTTTAGGCTCAGGCGAAAAGAATCAGGGGCAAACAAAAGAAACGCGTGATGATATTTTCGAGCTCATGTCTGAATATGTGAGAGATTTAACGGAAGAGGGAGACTGGCTTTGACGTCGAAACGTTTATCCGGCCGCAGCCCTAGTTTTTCCGAGCCTCCGGTCAAGAAGTCCGGATCAATGATTTTCCCCGAGGCTCCTCCCCCCTGCCAGCCTTGCCAGCCTTGCACAACTCCAAGGGGCAGTATTGGGCTGTGAAGCGAACCTTGCGGTCAACAAGCTCTGTTGTAGATATTGCGTATATTGTTCATATACTGTTGGGGTAACTGCCCAAACCACAGTATCAAGCATACAAACCCTTTTGCCACCACAAACATCTCTGATTCGCTGCATTGTCCTTGATTGGGCCAATCGTCGTCAGATTCAGATTCAGCACCGTGGTGTTTGCACCATATGTCGGGAATGGCGGCAGCCCTGCTCCATTTGGATCGCCCATCATGACAAAGTTCGTAAAGTATCTCTGCATAATGACTGCCAATGTGTCATTCTTGACCAAGGGATTTGGACCGTCGTAGTATGTATAGGCCACATCATCTCCGTGGAGGCTGGGCGGAACACTGAATATATAGTTGTGCACACTGTCGTTGTAAGCGCGAGCAAGGAAGTTGGTATTGCATGTGAAGAACGCCTCTGTTATCATCAATGCTGCTCGTCCTGTGGGGTTAATGTAACCGACTGAACCGTCAAACTTGGGCGGATAGAGTGTCTGGGAGATGTATTGGATGGTGGCGTCTGTGATGGTGGGGAAGTAGACGCGAAGATCGGCTTCAAACACGGTTTCATTTTGAGCAAAGGGATCCATGAAACCAATGCCTTCATTGATGTTGTGACCGGCCATGATCTTGAGGGATTTGTCGAACCCTCCGTGAAGAAGCAGCTGTCCCGGGAGATCGGGGGCAAAAGCACCGTCCACGACCGGGTTGAAAGTAAATGAGCCATATGGGCTCGATCCCCCGACAAGCTTATAATTGGCGAGTGAAAGTGCCTCGGTCGACAAGTTTCGAGCTTCGTCGAGCGTGTTGATCCCGGCTATTCCCAGAAAACGGGAGTAAACGGCCTCTTGCAGCGTCACGCTCGGCGACATTTGAAATCCAGGGCTCTGAACGATAGCCTGCTGAAATGGTACCTTTCCTTTCAGGCCTCCAAATGCTGTGATCTGGTGCATGGTGCTGCCTCCTCCGGCTGACTCTCCAATCACGGTAACGTGGTTCGGGTCTCCACCAAACTTGGCAATGTGTTGTTGTACCCATTCAAGGGCCAGGCGCTGGTCATAGAGGCCTGCGTTTGCTGTTCCAGACCCCTGAAATGTTGGACCAGAGAGGAATCCCTGACCAAGAGTGTTAGGACGAACTCAATTCTAAGAAACAGGGTGTCGAGGCATACGAAAGCTCCGAGGCGATAGTTCATCGCAACCCAAATTATACCCTTCCCTCCTTGACTCTGGCTTGCCTTGATAAGACCCGCCGCTGAAGGGCTGTAAAGAGTCTTTGATCCCAGAGTATATCCTCCTCCATGGATCCACACCATCCTGGATTGTCTGTCAGTAGGTCAATTTATCCATTCTGCGGCCGGATACGCTTACACTGGTGCCCCCGCTCCTTGACCAGCAGATTCAAATACATCTTGCGGCACCATGACATCAAGGAACAAACAGTCCTCGGTGGCTGTCGGGTCGGGCGGTGGTGTTGCAGCAAGTGGCGGAACCTGGTATCCTGCGGAGATATTGAAAGCGGCTGTCCCATTGGCAATCCAATCTGCCGAGTAAATGCCCCAAGCCGGCAGTACCTGGAAGCAAGTCACAGCTCTGGAGCCGTTGTTGAACACCTTGGTGCCATTTGTGCTAGGGGCGACTGGAGCAGAAAAGCGCAAATTCCCGAGAGGAGGGGCGCCATAACGCACATTAGAGAAGTTGTAGTATTGGCCGGACTCCTGTATAAACTTTAACATCTGGGGTACATCAGGTTCTCGACAGGATGTATCTATTTCTCACATTGTATGTCGCCTGGTGCAATTCATAGCCCAAATCCACCGTTGGCAACGTGGGCGCGGGAGCTGCCAGACAACAGACGGCTCCTGCAAGAAGCAAGGCTGTCACACGCAACATTTTAGCCACCGTCGAGGCCAAGGAATACTGGCAACACACAGAGAAGATACAACGGCTTCCTCCCTCTGTAATTGACAACAGCCCTGAACCGGAGGGGGGTTTTATACGGACCTTCGCTCTGTGCTTACCCCGGCTTTGCGGTCACTCGGCGTAAGGTGCAACGCGGGTGAGAGAGCGAAGCAGGGGCAAGTCATTGATTTCTTCCCCCATATTTTCTGTCGCCTGCTTGTAGCTTCCCAGAGAGCACAAGGGAGAGAGATTGGAAGCAATCACTGGGCGGCATGTAGCAGGCGAGCTCCCTCATCAGGGCTAGACGCTCTCCGGCGGAGATGTCGTCCGGTGGAAAGGGAAGTTCTCCAAAAGTCGCGGAGGTTCGTTTGCCGAAAAGATGGAGAAAGGAAGATAATTGATTCAATTTGCATAAGACGTCCAGATCGAGGACTGCGTCGAAGATATAGCAGGTACCGAGTAGAAGTGAGGGAAGGGGGATGAGAAAAGCAACATTAGCAATGATGTGATGGTGCCAATTGTCCCGATATGGACTAGCTCACGAGCTACTCGTAATTACTCTAAAAGAAGCTTCTCCCCTAGGCTTCATTTGCTGAAGTCTGTGATTGCATTCGAGGTACATGCCTACTTCATACCCGCGCACAAAGAATATATGGTGCTATCGATGAGGCTGATACGCCTATCCATTTTCTACCGAGATGAATCCAATAGGAAGACCGACATATCTCTGCAGCTCCCCTGAAGAAAAGGCATGCAACAGAATAGGTCATGTATCAGCAGGCCGGGCTACCTATCTCAACGCTCTCCTCTGCTATTTAGTGTATCATGCACTAGCTTCATGAGGGTTCCAATTGTTCAACGGCAATAGTGATCACCATCCAAAACTTTACGGGTACTTATCACGAGTTGTTGACCTCGGCTTTTCACTCTCGCCTAACTGTGTTGAAAGAGAATATCGCCGATAGGTCCCAAGATTGCCGAGCAGCATACACGAGCATATCTACGAGGTACATGGTTCCTACATGGGCAGTAGGAATCAAGTTTCATGCGGGGAAAGGCTGCTGGACCATCTACACACGTCCACCGGACAAGGGCTTCATCGTGCCCGGAGCGCAATATTTCCGGGGTTGGCGTCGATCCTTGGGCTAGCTCCAAGGTGCTAACTATACCAGCCGCGTCTCATCAGACATCTAGATCGTGAAGCATCAACTGCCGACTGTGGATATCTTGCGGTGAAGACGGGCCACGGGGAGATATGGGCAACCCGTCTGCGCAGGACGAACAGAAGAGCCGGCATAGCCAAATAAATGCCTTCGCACGCTTTCACTTCTACACACAATCTCCGGAAGATTACTAGTGACAACAAGGAAATGTCGTGACAAGGACTTTCGAGATATCCATGCATGTATCCAAGATCTGGAAGCGTACATACCAAGACTGATTTCGGACACCTTGTAGGCACTACCATGAGGCATCTGCTAGCCAATTGGCCACAGAGGAATGTCTCCTGTTGTGATTGTTGCATTTTTGACAACCCCGCTTTCGTGGGCACTAACGCGCTTCGTCTTGGCATACTTTCTGGCCCGGTACCCGCCGAGACGGGGATCCCCAACCTCAATTCAGACCTCAACTTCGGAGACTCATTATTCTCCGTGTGAGCCTCACGTCTCGAGCATCCCCCCACCTGACAAGCAACGTTGCGACCTGCTCAGACAAATCGCTTCATGACCAAGACTGGCAAGCGACAGCAACCCTTCACACCCCATGTTTGACGTCCTCATTCACATGGCAAACCGGCTGGTGAGATAGTTGACTGCATGACCACAAACCAAGTTGTTTGCCTGGTGCTATGGATCCCACCCAACGTTCTTCCCGGCTTGCATGGGCGTGCGACCGCTGTCGCCGTCAGAAGCTCAAGGTATCTTTCTACCCACCTCTGCGTCTCCCGTTTCCGCAACTTCCCGGCGGATGCTGACACACGAGTATACACAATTTTAGTGTGATGTGGAGAAGCCATGCATACTCTGTGTCAGGGCCGGCGTCGCTTGTGAGCCGCAATTGTCGACCCAGGACGCTTCATTGAAGCGCAAGAGATCAGACCATTCAGATGTCAGTCGTCGGACCAAAGTGACAGCATCACTGGCTGCTTCAAGTTATGCTCAACATGGCGCCCCGCAGGTCCCGATGAGTACCACTTGTAGCCCCTTGAACGATACTACGCACACCGCAGGCTCCTCGCGCTTTGATAGTGCCAGGCTCGATGCGGCCGAGATCACGAGGACCAGTCCTGAGGAAAGCCAGCAGTATGGCGCCAATGACTCGTCGATGGGGTTCGCGAAGATCTTGCTCGGGGAAGACGACGATAGCGACTCGCCAGCCAGTGGAGCCATTCCAGGCGATGCAGGACGCTCAGCCGCCGACCCCCAGTCCTTGGGCTCTATTTTGACGCCGTTGCCTTCGCAGACCATCCTCCAGATCGCCGTGGATGCCTATTTCGACAGGGTGAACTGGTACATCATGCTCTTCCACCGGCCGTCGTTTGCGATTCGGACTCAAAACATCCTCCGACAAACTGCCTGGAGACGCGACGAGCTGTGCGATGTGCTTCTCGTGGCGGTGGTGGCGGCGGTGGGCTTGCGATGTGTTGAACATGACAAGACGTGGAAAGGCCATCATTTACTCGAGGCCTACGCGGTCACGGCCGAGTCACTCGTTTCGGACCTGATGTCGCAGATCTCGTCACGCTTCTACGAACTGATGCTGGAGTCGCGCATCGAGGTATTTCAGATCTGCATGCTGCTGACTATTTACCACGTATACTATGGCTCATCCACCTATGCCTGGAACGTATCGGGTGTGTCCACCAGAACGGCATATGCGCTGGCGCTCCACTGCGACAAAGCTCGAAAAATGGATGAGGTCGCTCGGGAAGTGAGTAATCGATGTTGGAACCACTTGGTCGTGTCCGATCAATTCTCCTCAATGATATTCGGCCGTCCCGCATCGCTCGACCCGGCCTTTGCTCAATTTAAAAAGCTCGCAGACTTGGACGATACCGACCTCCCCGAAGGCACGGCAGCCCTCCCCGTCTTTCAAGTGCCGGGTCGACCTGTGTCATTCCTGACCTATCATACTCTCAAGTTTGAGCTTTACGACATCATCCGCCAGACATTACAGAGTTTCAAGGTCCTGCAACTTCAGAGTCCAGTATCTGTCCAGGATCTCAAGGCTTTGATTCAAGTTGTCAACTCCACGGAAGTCATGTTGCAGCAGTGGCATGACAATCTACCCGTGGTATTCAAATCCTCGCAGTGGCCGGCCGATGATCCCTGGAACGTCCTCGAACTCGACCAGTGCAGTCCGGAGGAGCTCAGTTTGAGGAGGAAGATCGGCTTGCAAGGCTTCCTCCTCCAACTGTTGTACGACGCGGCCCGAGTTTGGGCCCATCGACCCCTGCTCAAACTCCGAATCTCCATATCGCCAAAGGAAGGCAATGACAAGATCGCCCTTGACGATGTTCCCGACTCTCTAGGTATTTCGGTGCGGACCGCATTGCGGATGTCGCGGGTGCCCGTGCACGAGTTCGAGGGTCACCTCGCGCAGTCCTTTGTGCTCATGCACCTCTTCACGGCCGGCGTGATCCTCTGCATCGCGCCTACTTGTCAGCCGTACAGTCAGGTGGCAGGCGAGGCCAAGGCAGGGGTGCTCCGGATCATTGCCGCGTGTAGGGCCATCAAGGACGAGAGCAAGATCGCCAAACACACCGATCAGATGCTGACGAGGCTGTATAAGAAGACGATGCAACGGGAGATGGACAATGCTCTGCGGCCGCCAGACACTGCCGTACCAAAGGAGCGACTGCTAGCTCCTGCCCTCACCCCGAGACACTCACAGGCTAGTGGTGACTACGCTCGGCCACACCGAGAGTCCAGTGTGCTGTCCAAATCGACTCCCTTCCAAGCGGGTATGGCGACTGCGAGCTCGGCCTCTGGACGTGTAGGGACGCTGTCGGCTTTGGACTACCAGGACCGTATCGCCGATGAAGTGCCGGACCAGCAGCCCGTCGTCTCATACCTGCAGTTTGAATCGCTATACCACAACAACCAGATGAGCTCTTACATCAACGAACACATTGACGAAGCCTATGGTGCTTTTGAACAGAGTAAGTACATCCGATTCGAGGGAGGCTCCCCCCTTTCCCTGGCGTTCCCGCTCATGGCACCCCTTTGTTGTTGAAGGAGATCAAAGAACATGACTGATGGCCAATGCGTTCCTTCTAGTGTCCAACCTCGATTTTGGCGACTTTTCTTTCAAACCTTACTGACGAATCTATCCACCGCCACTCGAATCCTCTCATTACATCTCCAATCGGCCACGGCCTTTATCCTCTCACATCGTCCCTATTTCACGAGAGCAGACTCCAAACCACTTTAATCTCTGAGTTATACGGCGACGAATATACTCACACACGACAAGTTAATCAGAAATCTCCGTCCCTCGACGAGCAAATCCTAGATATCCATAATGCCCCAGGTCGGGGTCAATGTCTGATGATTACGCAAAGCCAGCCATACAGGCAATGAGGGAGCTCCCCTTGTCGCACGTCCTCTTTTCTGTTTGGTCAGAGCGACAGTTGTAATCTATGCCTCGCCCCGTTACCTGACGAAAACCCGACACCTAGAAGAAACGCAGGAAGAACGACTACGAATATGAAGTTGGAGCGGTAGATGCTGCTTGCGCACGAGGCACCGAATCTACATTGTGCAATTGACTTGAAATTCCAGTCGAGGACCAGACTCTCTCTTTTTTTTTTGGCTTCTTCTCTCCTTCATTCATATCATGATATTCGCCCATGAGCCCCAACCACTCAGGAGGTGGGTACAGAGACATCATGTTTCTTGGAAGCCGACGACCCTTGAACGTGAGCAACGAGGAGGTTCATTGCTGATGACATCTCCCTTTGGGCGGTATACGATGGCGATGATTCGATGTTCTTAAACCCTTTTCTTCATTCTCCCTTATCTTTCTCTCCTCCTCCTGCACGCCCCCCCCCCACATGAATTCAATTTTGAATTTGATCAATCCAGCAAATCTAAAGGGTTGACTTCCCTCTCGCCATCCGAGTCGGGAATCCCAAAGTCCCAGCCCCCAAAGGGATGTTCCTCGCAGGACGGACCGCACTTGTGGCCGGTCCTCTCCTCTTCCACGGTGTACCTGGCCAGATATGTCTCCATGGCCGCCCACCTCTCCTCGTCCGTGGGACCCTCGACGATCCTCCGTCTCGACCGCTCGATGGCGGCGTGGGCCTCGGTCTTGCGCTCTTCTCGCTCCTCCTCGATCTCGCGCAGCGCGTCGGCCCGGTCCCACAGTCTGTCCATCAAGGCTTTGTGCGCTCGGCGCTCGGTCGACCGCTCTTGCGAGAACGCATGTGGGGGCGATGGCAGGCGCGGCGGCGGCGGCGGCGGTGGTGGTGGTGGTGGTGGTGACAGTGCTGGCGCTGGCGACCGTTCTGGCGAGCGTCGTAACGAACGTCTGGGCGACCCTACTGATTGGCGTGCTGGCGAACGTCCTTGAGACCGGATGGGTGAACGTCCTGACAAACGCCCAGAAGACTGAGCCGGCGGCGACCGTCGCTCCAACCGTTGTGGCGTCCGTCCTGGCGACCCAGCTGACGACCCTCCTCGCGACTGTGCTGGCGACCGTCCTGGCGAGCTGGCACGCGCCAGCTGTCCCGAACGACTCAAACGGCGCACCACGTCCCAGAGGAAGTCGTCGGTGGGGAGGGCGTTCCTCCGCCTCTCCGCCCTCCGACGGGCCGCCGACATGTAGAAAGAAGGCATGGTTTGAGAAAGAACTGGGCGGCTTTAAATCCTCTCAGAGGGGGTTGCTGGAAACAAGCGGGATGGGTAGGGTCGGTTGTTTGGGGAAGAACGGTTCGCTTCGGGATTCTTTAAGTCGGTGAAGAAGGGGGAAAGAAAGAAAGAAAGAAAAGGAAAATGAATAGTGTGACGGAGTGAGTGGCAAAAGTGACAGTGTGAGATAGAGAGAGTGTGTGTGAATGAATGTATTTAGAAAATTGAGGTCTCGGCGTCGGCTAGCCACGCGATGGCTTTACATGTCCCGACAAGAAGGAGGTCGGGGTCACGATTGTTGTCGGTAGCAGACAGAGGCGCGTGGAAAGCGTGGATAAGGAGGGTAACCAGGTACGAGAACAGAGACACTCACTCACCCTTCCTGGATGTGGAAACGCATGGCCCTGTACGAGGCAAGTAGATAGATCATGAACAGAGCAGTAGGACGACAATACCAGGGGTGTCAGAAAAGGGCTCTCTGACCCAGTCAGTAAGGGGACGGTATAGAGACAGAGCGACATATGTCCGTCATGTCGATTGCGTCCATGCTGGGATGATAGTCAGTTGCGACGACTGCATCACGGCAATAGAACAAAGACGGGGACAATCCGCAGCGGCGGCTTCTCACAAAGAAAGACCAGGACAGCAATGCAGCATCATCAGCATCATAAAGACATCACCTTGTTTTCGTGCACGAGCCACAATCACGGGCCACTGATGCCCTACCTCAGCAGCACAGCCTCTTGCTTGTTCACCACTGACTGTCTCATATCAAACTCCTCCACTCCAGGAGCAATCATCAAAGGACAACACACCCACCGACATTTGTGCTGTACCTCCGTACCTTTTTTTTTTCCTTCTAAACGATTTTGTACAACTTCAAGTGCAACACATCGCCAGCCATCTGCACAAATAGAAACCTATCACCTCACCAGCTTATGCGTGAGATGGTTCATCCCCAGAAGAGCGCTGTTCGTGTCGACAGCAAAGTCTTGGAGCTCTTTGCACCATCACATCCGACTGGCCAGAATGAAGATCTGGGCTCTCAGCTCCCCAGTCACATCTCTGCCACACAACCTCCTCCTTCGTCTGGTGGCGTGGTCATAGACGGCACCTCTTGCTACTGACTTGGCACGAAGTTTGCGCTTGAAATATCGATGTCTGGATTTGGCATAGGACCCCTGCACCTTCTCGAGAGAATACTGCAGAGGCTCCATCCCGATGTTGACGGTGAGGCAAACCTGGTCTTTACTGATGTCGAGTTTGTGTTCGGAACAAGAGGTCCAGATACAAGCTGCGATACCTGCCCTCTCCATCACCCCGACGACCTTGGGAGTGACAGGCATGAAGAAATCCCGAAAGAGATGTTGCGCAAATTCCTCGACGTGGTCAGTGACTCCCAGTGTCACACATCCTTGATGCAGACGAGCAGTAGCCGCGTCATTTGCCTTGGTTTGTGCGAGGAGGTCATTTGGTTGGAGAGATCGATTCTGACGTGTGTGAGCTGATTCACAACATGCGGGAAAGGAGCAACGACGCCCGTAGCAGCGCAGTCGCTCTACCAGAAGCACAAAATGGTTCTGCTGCTGTTCGATAGTCCTTTCGTGGTCGGAATGCGACATCAGGCCGGTAGTGGAAGTTTGTGTTCTACAGCACGCGTCAGCCTTGTCTGGATCTCAGGAGACAAGCGAGCGCAGCACCCGCCTTTACTTAGAGTCTTACGCGACTAACAGCAGTGAGAAACTAGTGTCGTGACGAGCAGCCGACACTCAGATCGGCAATATCTGGTAACAAGATAAATAGACGCGTTGTACCCTAAGAATGCGTGAGGAGCAGACAAAGACCGGCTGGAGCAAATAGCGACTAACGTTGTGGTTTCGAAAGAGTAAGGTGGGCCAGTAAATGTGTTGAAGATGGATAGCAATCAGACGTTGGCCAGAACTGACCGAAAGCCTTGGATCGATGCAGTCGACAGGGAACGGAAGACTTCGAGGTCGGGCGGTAGAAAGTGCGCGAGGCGAAAAGAGAAAACGTGCACTGGCGCAGCTGCGCACAGAAGTCGATCTCGGCGGGAAGTCGGCCATGTTTCCTGTCACAGAACAGAACCGTCACTTTCGTCCTTCAATTTTGATCTTTTGTGTCATTTTTTATGTCTCATCTGACGATTTCATTCTCGTTGTCACATCATGCTTGTTTCTTTTCAACTTTTGGAGCCTTCAACATGGTGAATACCAAGACTGTCACGCCCAACATGGCACTGCCACCGATCACATAGGCTGTCTCACGACCAGCCCACCAAAACAGACTGCAGAACACAATGGGACCCAGTGCTCTCCCAAATTGTCCCCAGCTCCGCAGAGCTCCCAGAACTTCTCCTCGATTACTTTCTCGCGCTTCAAAACTCCCCAAACTGTTCAGCCCGGTGACAACCGTAGCCGAGGTCACCGCAAGTAGTGCGCCCGCGCAGTACAAGCCAGTGGTGTTTTCTATGCGAGACAGCAGGAAAAAGGCCAAAGTGCTGGAGACAACACCTGTTTTTACGACCGTCAGTGGCGGGAGGCGACGGACGATGGACCCCTGAAGCAACGAGGCAACCAATCCAACAAACCCCAGCAATCGCCCATTGACTTTGGACGGTGACTGGTGGTCTGGAAAGAGAACAGACGTGATCAAGAATGGCAAGGAGAATTCCATCCCCGAAAATGGTAGGAGAAACAGCAGGTGGATCGCATTCAAAACGACCGGATTGTTTGTATGACTGAATTTCGTTGAGCCGGACTTGGTGGTCTTGGAGTCGGAAGTCGCACTTTTCACGGGCCTTGTCTCTGGAAGATGAAAATAGAGGTATAGCGTCTCGACGACGATCAGCAGCAGCGAGAAGCCGGCGGCCGTGGCAAACGGGTTGGCGATTACAGTGGTGACACTGGCAAGGGCAGCGCCCATGGCGGGACCAAAGGTGAAGGCGATACTGAAGCATGCGCCCACAAGGGCCATGGTCGACCCCCTTTGCTCCTCGGTGCTGATATCCGTAGCAATGGCCGTCGCCAGCTGAACATTGCCCTCACTCAGCCCGCCCACGATTCGGCTCAGTAGAAAGGTGCGGAAATCCACGGCGAAGCACCAGAGCGCAACGCTCGCAATGTTGCCACACATGCTCCATAGCAGCGCCGTCCTTCGACCATATTTGTCCGACGCACGTCCAATGATGGGAGATGCGAGGGCTTGCAAAAACGAAAACAGAGAGCCCAGGGCGCCTCCGAGCAGGATTATATCGTATTTCTCATTGATGGGCACGGCAAACGACGACTTGTACGCGTTCAGGTAGTGGAGGATGCGATTCAATGCTGAGTCTGGGTGTGTCTCGAGGCCGCGATAGAAGGCGAGCAGCGAGGGGAAGAGAGGGAGGATGAATGTGAATGAGATCTGCCAATTGGAGGACCATGTAAGCATATGCCATTTTACCATGTGTTAGTAGCTGAGTCCGCACTCACTAGGTCCAGAAGTAATGAGATGAAGAGCACCCGCAGGATCTTCTTCCGCTGTTGAGGTGTGATGATGTCCATGTTGCGCTCCCTCCCCGGAAATATAATGTCGGGCCAAAATTCCAAGATATTGACGTTTGACGCAGGTAGTCAGTCACCACCAAGCAAAGCTCAATGCTGCAGCAGAGGGTGATATTATGGTGAAAGAAAGGAGAGACGCTCTATTTCTGGGGTTGGAGTGAGGCTCGGAGGGGACAGGACAAAGCTGTTCCAAAAAGATATGTATGCGACCAGCGCTCGAGGGCAATTATGTATGTATGTATATGTCTGTGTGTATGTTATGTATTTACAAGGCAAAAAGGGGCCGTCAATTCATTCATTGAAGGAAACAAAGCGCGCGAAGAAGAAGATCATCAGCTCATGTCATGTCATCCTTTCGGTTTTTTTTTTGGTGGTGATGGTGGTCGTTAGTGTTGGTGGGTGAAACGAAAGTTTGCGCGGCTCGGCTGCGTTGCGCTGCGCTGCCGTGACGTTCGTTGGGTGGCGGCCTCGAGAAATGCGTCTCCATTGAGCATGGCGCGGGCCACAAGAACGGGCAAAGACATTCCACACACGGAGCATTTCGGCCCCCTTGCATGTGTGTGACGACCCTGAGCACGTTTTAGTTCCTTCTCGCGTGTTGAACGAACCCCTGCACAAGTAGCGTGTAGGTGGTGATCGGCAATGCCTCGTAAACGGCATTACTAGGTAGTGCCTATTTTAGGGTACCACGGCCACGGCCACGGCCACGGAGTCTACAAGGCCACGACAGCCTTATAGTATTGCTCGGTGCTCGTGTGGACAGGGTAATGAGACTAGAGGCGTTGGAGGGATTCAGGGATGGGGAATATTCCGAGGAGGGTACAATAATCAATGCTCTCTATTGTTTTTGATGGACAAGCCAAGTATGGATAAAGTGGTGTGTTGCCCCTGGTCTCTCAAAGCGTCAATCGATCAGATCAGGTCACGGCATGGGCTCGCTGGATGGCTGCCCGGCCACAGAACAGTCCGAGCTCAGCTCAACTACCAGACTTGATGTTAGATAGTTCTAGGAACAAAACAGCATTTCTTGTGGTTCATGATGAAAGCCCTCGTTTCGCCTAGCTGAACCTATCCCAAACATTCCTAACAAGAGCATTTTTCTCTTCCGTCATCATTCGTCTGGCTTCTGGCGGCCTTTTGTTGCGCGATACATACCGTGCGAAAGGACAATACCAAATCCACATGTGGAACAACCTGCAACCGCAAACACCGAAATTGGGTCCGGAAGGGTGCGCATTTTCCTCCTAATTCATTCCTGATATGGCTTTGGTAGGCTTGCCTTGAGGAAGTTTCATCCAAGTAGAAGATGAATAACTTTTTGTCTCGGCATCTAGATGTCATCTTCCATCGGCAAGACACCCTCGCGCTGCATCTCGAGTCCCACCTCCTCGACCCTCTTCCACACACGCAGGAGATTACCACCCGTGATGCCCTCGACTTGGGCGTCACTCAGGCCGCGCCTCAACAGCTCCTTCAACAGGTCGGGAAACTTGGTCACGTCCTGCAATCCGCTGGGCGTGGTCGGGGTGCCGTCAAAGTCGCTGCCGATGCCGACGTGCTCGAACCCGATCTTGCCGCCAATGTACATGATGTGGTCGGCGACCCAGGCGAGGGTCGAGTTGGCCGGGTAGAAGGCCGGCAGGGTGTCCGGGACGGTGGCGTTGACGCACGAGATGAACTCGGGCACAAACGTCACCATGACCACCGAGTCGGTCTGCTTGACCAGCGGGAGAATGTGGTCCGGGACGTTGCGCGGGTGAGGACACAGCGCGTGCGCCGACGAGTGCGAGAAGATGACTGGCGCCTGGCTGCCGGGAAACGCCTTGGTTTGGTTGCCCGCAAGCACGTCGTGCATTGTCGCGGGATGGACGTGGGCTAGGTCAATCTACGTAGGCGACATTGATCAGTCATGGCCAGGGTTCACTCATGTGAGGAGCCAAGGAGTGCTGCCACTTACTATCATGCCCAGACGGTTCATCTCGCGTATGAGCTTGGTGCCTAGCGGACTCAACCCGCCCCAGTGCGGCGCTGCAGGTATGGCGGCTCCCAGATCAAGTGGTTCCTCGTGGACCGCCAGCTGCGCGGCGTCTGCAAAGGCATTATGGCAATTGTGCGTCAAGGTGACATATCTGGCCCCGAGGCTGTGGTAGAGACGCAGCATGGAGGCATTCCTGCCGATCATGTGCAGTCCCTCGAGCCCGATCGGGGAGAGCAGCTTGCCGTGACGCCTGAAAGCCTTCAGGGCTGCGGTGCTGTCGAGCGTGGCGGGAGAAAAGACGTCTGGATGGGCGGCCTGCAAGCGATGGATGAGGTCGACTTGTGAAAGTGCCAGAACGACGGCTGCCATGCAAATATTAGAAGGGGGAAAATGCTCGTCCCATTTTACAGCATCCAAAAGTACTTACTGGAAGCGTAATTTTCATTGGAAAAGTCGAACCCGTCGGCCGGACATTCGACCCAGCAGCTCCAGAAGAACCCGCCCTGTCCGCCCTCCTTCAGCCGGGCCAGGTCGTTATGGTCCGGCATCCCGCCGCCTTCGAACCGGGAGCGGAAGTCCTGGTCGTAGATGTGGTTCTGGAAGTGCGAGCGTATACTCCATGCCAGATCATCATGTCCGTCTAGTTGGTGGACGGTCGTCGCTCGGTCAGCTGGAACGACACTGGCAACGTTCCCATGAACCTATGGAGGCATCGACCCAGGACACAAAAGGGGTGGGGAGGATGGGGTTTTGATACTCACCTATCAGAGGAGTCCCGGCCATGATTCTTGCGACACGCTGATCCAATGAGAGAAAAGACGAGGGAACCAGAGAGAACAGGTATCGGTCTGGTCTGGAAAAGTCGTCTTTCAGTGCCACTCCGAGACCAACGGCCGCAACCAGGAACAACAACAACGGCCGCCATTGAAATCCCCGATATCGGTCGTAGCTGTCGTCCGCGCTCAGTTGAGCTTTGGCCTTTTGGCCGTCTGTAACTCGCACCATAACCGCGTGGCTGTTGGAATCAACGACGGGGTAATAGGTTGGTTGTCGCACGAATGACACTTGACGACGCCGACACCAGAGTCACTTCCAGACAGAGGGAGGAACAAGACAGGCCTCAGAATGAAAAAGACATGCCACCAAGTAGTAGTAGATGGGGCCGAATATGTTTTTTTACAAGTTACCAAGTACAAAGGGCGCAAGATAAGTGGCTGTCGACTTATTGGATATAAATGTGCCTCGCCGAGTTATTGAGTGGAGCCGAGATCCACTGCGCCATACTCCTATTCCAGAGCATACACTTCGTACACCTCGACGGTTTACTTGATATATCCCTCGGTAAAGAGATCACGTAACACACCTTGTATCTACATTCAACTGCAGGTCAGTGCTCGCCGTGCTTTCTAACCAGTTTCTTCAAAATCCCCATGGCGCCAGATCTATAGCTGCCCCCGAAGATTGCGTAGTGGTTCAAGTGATGATACTGCGGGAAAACAGATCAGCCCATCAAGATGACTAACGAGGGTTGAGGGATGCTTACACTTTCATATAATGACACTCTATCCTTGTATTCACTCACCGGCTCCGTCTTGGGGACCAGCTTGTGGTATTCGTCCCAGAATGATGACGGAAACCCGCCAAACATGTGCATGATGCCAAAATCATACTCGTTGTGTGCGTAGCATGAGGACGGGTCAAAGACCACCTCTTCCCGGGGTCCAGGTGTATCCGGGGTCGTATTGTCACGGCCGACGAAGCTGCCTTTGGACTTATTGCCTGACCAGAGATCGCCGTGGACAACGACTGGCCTGATCCCGTCGCTGCCACCCAGATGGTTGCTGCCAAGCAGCTTCGGCACCACCTCGCGGACTGTCCTTTCCACAACCTCGCGCAACTCCGGGTCTCGCCCATTATTCTCTTCTGCCTTCTCGAGGATCGCGAGGAGCCGTCGCTTCCCGAAAAACTCGGCCCACGACGAGGCGAACGTATTGTCTTGGGGCGTGTCTCCGCAGCACGTTGTGACCGGAAACCCAAACTGAGGTGAATCGTAGCCCTCCGGAACCGGGGCAGGAGTCGTGTGCAGCTTTGCGAGTTTTTCTGCCAGAGACACCCCGCTGCCTCTGCCACCGCCGCCTCCACCTCCATGTCTGGCTCGCGATGAGAACCGTCCATCGAGGTCCAAGAATTCTGTAGCAAGGAAATACCCCCCACCTTTCTCCAGTTGTCCCCAGGCGAAAGATCGCGGACACAGGCTGGGCACGGCGTCATGGATGGCGTTCAGCGAGGCATGCTCCCCTCGAAACATGACCTCTGCGCCAGGCGAACGGGACTGTTTTACGAAAATGGACGTGGTGGACGTGGTTATGCGGAATGTTGATGCAAAGCCAGAGCCGCCATGGGTGGAAATATGGGCGGTGCTTGCATCGAGGTGGAGGGCGCGGACAATTGCTGGGTCTATGGTGGGCATCTTGATCACAGTGACTGACCAAAAAGAGCGATCCCTCTGGTTGGGAATTCTGCTTTTCTCATTGCAGCATGTTCATCTCATCCTCTTCAATCATGCGTTAAGTAAATGTAGGGCGAATGGAGTGATGTGATATGATGTAATCGCGTATCCCCGGCGCAGTTGGCACCATCTTCGGGTCATTGTTCACCGGACGAGGCTGCGGTCTGATCCTTGTGGGCGCATGACAGGTGGTATATGTATCTGGATAGCTGAGAGGGAAATTTCTTGCAGATTCATACAATGCTCCGTCCTTAGATACTTGGGTGATCACGGCACAGTCATTGAGCTTCGAATATACACATGGGCCCATGAATGGCTGCATCAGCTAGCCTTGTGCCTGCAAATTATCTGTTTGCTTCCCTTAGGTCCTAATAACCCAATTCCGTCTATGTGCCTCGAGCTCAGAAGCGCCTTCGCTATGCCCCGTTAATTCATTCAGTCAAGCAAGTCAGCAATCCTCTCCCCTTGACGTAGAAGCTGCTACCTCCGTCCAGTGCCCTTGGGTTTGGCTTTACCCTCAGCATCACTATTCACGCCACTCGTCGTTCCAGAATCCAACCCTCCGCCGCCAGCACGTTTCTTCTGGCGTAGTGTCTGTCCCTGTCCCTTAAAGTGAGGCTTCACTTCATCGCTTCCCACAGGCTCGCCATTGTCATCCCGCTTACGTAGTGGCTTGACCTCATACCCGAAGAACAGCTTTCCAGGTGCCAGACGCAGTGGTTGGGGTCCATTTGTTCTTCTCGGTGGTGGAGATTTCGTGGCATTTGTGGATACACCTCCAACAGGTGTAGATGCGCTAGGTGTCGGAGCTTTCGATCCCCTCTTCGAACTGAGCTTGTGGCCCTCGGAAAGGAAATGCGAGGACACTGCGCGGGCTCCAGCGGCAGCTGTGTTTGAGGACGGGGCTATGCTTCCGTAGTTGATCGACTGTGCCATGGTACCCTGAAAATGCACCGGTCCGCCATGTGGCCTTCCCACGCCGCTCCTAGGTGTGCTTGTCCCACTCGTTCGCTCGGGAGGCACATATCCAACAGGAGTGGCGAAATCGACTTCCAGGTCGGTCTCCATAGTCACGATGGCGTGCGAATCTGTGTCTGGCTTGATCTCCAGCACGGCAATATCGTATGTCTGGTCGTTGTATTCAAATGTAAATATATCGCCCTTTGTCAGACACGAGAAGTTTCGGAATGCGTTTTCGAGCACGGCCCGTGGGTCGGAGATGTCGAGGAAAGCGGGTGACTGAGGTTGGAGCTTGATAAATTTGCCAGGAGGGAGATCTGTCGACTTGATCTGAAGAAGGTCGCCAGGGTCCAACTCGAGGGTTTTCATCAGCTATCCCAGAATATCAGCATATACCCTTACAGCTTGGCGGAACAGCGCAAATACCCATTGTGGTAGATATATCCTCCCTTCCTCTGCGATGAATTCAAGCACACCAGCATGCGTACTCTTGCCAGCATTCCCGTTTATCAACTCAAACACCATGGGATATGTAATGTGGAGTCTCGTCAGTTTGTCCAGCGCCGATGGTGGCATGAACACCTTTCCACCATAGTTGACATTCTTTCTATCAGGTCCGCTCATCATGACCACGGGGTAACAGCGGTAGTATTCATCGAACCGACCCATCGAGCGGCCAAATGGGGGTGGTCCGCGTAGGAAGGCTGGGTAGTCCATCGGATCGTGGTAGAAAGACTGAGCATGTCGGTGAGTGAAAGTTGACGGTCCATAGTGAAAGGCTTACCATTTGGACCGTAGTGGCTTTTGCCAAATGTGAAAAGAAGCACTGAAAGATACAGGCTGGTTCTGGAATCAGGAAATTCACCAGGCGACCAAGGATTTTGTCGCGATGCGGGGTGAGGATACGTGGATTTGTAGTCTTAGGATCGACGTCCGATAGAAAAAAGAAGGGGTTCAAAGGGTTGGCAGTCGCTGATTCTACTACAAGGATATTTAGTGAAAGTGACTTTGTGGAAGAAGGAGAAGTGCCTTTCCCTTTGGTGAAATGCTGTCCAGGCACCATCTGCGGCGAGTTGAGGTGGTGACGCAGCTGCGCTTCTCTGGTGCCGCGGTTGGCGGACATCATTCCACCAGCTTAATTCCGCCCACACCAGACAACCACCTTAGTACCTGGTACCTCAAATCGAGTCAATGGTTGTAATTGCTCCTCCATCACCCAGTTAGCTACGTGCAGCAATGGCCTATAACACGCCTGGCTCTAAACGGGCGGCCGAAGACTATGTCCGCACCACCTCCCACTCCAACGACGGTTTCTACGGCCAGCCTACCAAAAAACCGCGCTTCGACGTGCGCAACCCCTCGGCCCTTGCCCCCGATGCACTAGAGGACGATGCGATTTTGGAAGCGGATGTTATCGGCGCACGTGGTCAGCAGGTGAAGCGCGGCGCAGTAAACATCGACGGCTACGACTCGGACTCAGACAATGACAATTTTGACGCTCGCGCCGATAGAAAAGCTAAAGCGAACGCAAAGGCGGAGAAGGACAAGTCCAAGGAGGAAGATGAAAATGATATGTTTGCCGATTTGGAGGAGGACTTCAAAGATGGGGACGATTCAGAAGGCGACATCGGACGAAGAGGCGGCAAGAAAAAAGCTGTTCGGTTCATCGACGAGGACGAGATAGAAGGCCAAATTCAAAGTTCAAAAAGTGGTGGCCACGTCTCTGCTGATTTCTCGCTCAACGGGCGGGGAAAGGGTAAAGCCAAAGAAGAGGACGATGAAGTTGAGAGCAGCAGTGAGAGCGAAGTGGACGATGAAACTCGAGCAAGCACCGGCGAGCTCGATCCCGAGCTTGGAGCCGGGAGCAAGAAGTCACATGCGCCCAAGTTGGATGCTTTCAATATGCGTGCAGAGCAGGAGGAGGGCCGCTTCGACGATCAGGGAAACTATGTTCGCAAAGCTGCTGATCCCGATGCCATTCACGATATTTGGCTCGAAGGCATGTCGAAGAAGGAGATGAAGCGAGCAAGGGAGGCTGCCGACAAACGAGAAGAAGAGCGGAGAAAACGTGACTTGGAGGAGGATGCAAAGTCAACAGGCGACGTTCTGGCCGAGCTCATTCCGCTGCTGGAACGTGGCGAAACCGTCCTCGAAGCCCTCGCTCGCCTCGGAAAGGGCAAAGACAAGAAACCAAAATGGCATTCCAAGAACAAGCACAAGAAACAGAATGGCGAGTCAGACGGGCATCCTGCAGCAGAAGACCAGGCTGCAGAGCAGGCTCGAAAGGCAAAGGTCGAAAAGATCAGTGGCGCAGCGGCCATCTTATTAGGCAGAGGCCAAGCAGAAGTTTACGATACAGAAAGAGAATTGCTCATTCGACAATATCGACGAGAAACTGGTAATGAGTGGAGCGATCCCCCGCAGCCCAACGATACAGATACTCATGCTGATGCTGAAGACTCCACGCCGCAGCTGTGGGAGTATAGGTGGACTGATGCTAGGGATGGTGGGGCAATAAACGGGCCCTTCGATGGCCATACCATGAAACAATGGAGTGATGCTGGCTACTTCGGCGAAGGCGTCGAATTCCGTAGGCAAGACGGTGATGGCGACTGGACCAGAGTGGCCGACTTTGCCTGATGAGGATGATGTTGATGTTGTGCGATATTCCCAATAATTGACTTCCTAAGCATGGAATATTCCCTTGTCCGTTGGGCCTTCTTCGCCTTCGACAGCAGCCGCTTGCGTGTGCTGGAATGTCATGACTCGCCAGTTGAGCTCTCGACGCCAGAACAACCCGTATGCCAATCGGTTGCCACCAGGTTCAGAGCAGAGGCCACCACTGCCCGGCATCTTGCGAGCGAAAACACAGACTCGGAATCTGGAATGGATCATAGCCATCGCGCAGCACACGCACGGTTCATGTGTCAGATAAATGTCGAGTCCACTGCAGAGATATCCTTCAGACCGCGGATTTGGTCGTTTCTCTGGCACGGCATCATTCATATTTTTTTCGAGGATAACATTGCCGAGCCCAGAGGTAATGTCACGGAGTATTTCTTGATCTTCTCCATACTGACTCTCGACTGGTGTGAGAGCTTGGCCAGACGGTGTTTCCGAGCATGTGTCCTTGAACTTGAGGTGTCCTCCCGCTCTGATGCGTCGACGAAGTTCCTTGTTTGCAACCATGGCGACAGCACGCATGACGGCGTGATATTCGGGTCTCCCTTCTCCGTTGTTTGCCATCAGCGACTGATGGGTTTCTGGATCATCAGACCACCAACGAGCGTCGCCAGCCACCGCGACGACTGTTGCAGTTTCTGGTTCCACCACAACAGCACCGACGCCTCTTCCGTGACCGTGTTCCCTGGAAGCATGGGCAGCCTGTCTTGCGAGCTCCATGTATGTATCCGTGGCCGGGACTTCCAGTAGAGTCCGCATCCGTCGAAGTTGGTGGAGAGGTGGAGCGTCTTGAAGGACCTGTGCAGCCGGGTTGTAGATCGATGGCCAATAGCGCTCCGTCCAGAGAGCAGCCTGCTCTGCACTCAGAGGTGCGTGTCGTGGGACAACGGCATCAAAGCAACGAGGGAGACCTTCAACATCGATATGCGGCACCAGCGTGGCCTTGATATCCTCCCATGACACGACCGTGTTTGGCACCAACAAAAAGACGGTTTGAAGACCTCGTGCGTCATAATCACGCCGCCACGTCAAGTCCAAAGGTAGGTGAGACAGAGAGCATACACGGCGGAAGTGACTGAATGAAGGGTGTTTGCCGCCGTTGGGGATGACGGGCTTGACGATGCTGGTCACTGTGGTCAGCTCCAGGTTACTCATGAGAGTCTCTTGAGTCAGCTACCTTAGTGCTTTGCTCGTCAACTTGGCCGGGATCTCGATGACAAAGGCCTGGACTGGAATGCCACAGTTAGTTCAGAGAGATCTGGCGGAGAAGAGTAGAAAAGGGTACTGTGCCATACCGAACACTTCCTCAGAGCGGTTTTCATGAACCGTCTTCAACGGCTCGAGGAATGAGATTTTTTCCGCCATGTCTGGAGGTTGCCGAGGTTTGGATGCATCGTAGAGTAGAGAAGAAGAACTACAAAAGGTGGTGACGGAGAAGGGATTTTGAAGAGGGTCGGTGGGAGGCAGCTGCCTCTTTGCAGTGGATAATTTTTATGGGAGGCAGTTGCACAGTCGCTCTGTCGCACCTGCAATAGAACCAAGGTGATCCCACTCACAAGAGTAAGAGAGAGTTGAATGGAAGCAACGACAAGGCGTTGTTCCGGTGCAAACGAAGAAGAGGCCGCAAACGCTCCACTGGTAGAGGCGATGAAGGCAGTCGAGTGTCAACGCTCACCACCATCACCCGTGTTGGGGGAAGAAGAGAAGAAAATCTATATACAGTAGAAGGAAAGGACAAAGGTAAGTGAATCGGATGTAACTATTGTTGCTTGTCTAAGGCCATGGTTTGATTGTCCTTTTTTCCCCTCCTTCGAGTCATTCAATTATTTTGATGCAAGTGAAAGGAAAGTGAATTTCGAGGCTTTGCGGATAAATGTTGTTCCGCAGAGAGTCTTGAAACTCTTTCTCTGGCAGACAATATGATCATCCATCCAACATTCTGTACATGTCCTGATATAACTCCACCTCGGTCCCATGATCACTGGCAATTCCCTGTCATGATCACAGGTAACATAGGTACATAGAAGAGAAGGCTGTGCGATTCCACTATCGCAAAATCTTATGTGTCCAGAGGTCGTCACTGTTCATGATACCCTCGTTGTTTGTGACAGTCTCTCAGCCTCTGGTGGGAGACTTGATCTTCACCTCTTCCCATAGAGTAATAAGACTTTGGGACCGGTCCTGCTCTAGCATCCATGGTATGTGACGAGGGGCCGGATCCGTGTCTGCATAGTCGAGACTGAGAACTCGATCCGACATGGCGTCGACCGCATTAACATGCATCTCTCGCACTGCATAGCAGTGTACCCGTCTCTATATGGCTTGTCCTGCGTGGGTATTCCAACGAGGAATCCGAAGGGTTGAGATTTGCATCCACGTTGTCTCGTGAATCCATGGTGTAGACGTCGACAATGTGTTCAGAAGACCAGCTTTACCAAAGCTCGTTAGAAGCGTGGTTCCCAGGGAATCGTACATCTGATTTGAGTCGATGAGGCAGGCAATCAGACGACGGCGTATCCAGGGCTCCAAACACAGCAGGCCTCCAATTTTCCATCTCGTCCTTTAGATTGAGTCTGGCTCGGGCAGGCCGCGTGGCTAGGTCTGGCTGCATGAGCCGCCTCTTTTCGTCATTTCCCAGATATAGTCATCATCACCATCTTCTGCATCATAGCGTGACCCCGATGTGTAGTATTCTTGATCAAGTCTCCAGCTTCAACGTCAAAACAAGTAGACTCACGTAGGCCGCCACGCTCAGGGCGGTCAGGGCGATGACGACATTCCCACTCGTCCGGAACCTCTTCCTGCCTAGGCCGTCGTCTCCGACCTCGTTGAAGAACTGTCGATTCCCTTGCTGTCTGCGATAGGCACTAACCAAGAGCAGACCGACGGCGTAGGCGGCGAAGAGGGCGCCAATCGAGTAGAACTCCGAGGTGAAGATCTTGAGGACTACGAGGGCGAAGGAAAACTGCGAGAGGGACGTGCGGATGTACGCGCCCTCAAAGGTGCGCTGGGCGGCACGGATCTCGACGAGCTCGTCGTTGGTGAGGTCGACGGAGCGGGCGCGGTGCATGCGCAGCCGGAACCGGTCTTCGGGGTGACGCGAGGAGAACATGCTGGGGGGCTAAGGGGGGCCAAAGGGCGGGAGGGAGGAAGGTGTCTGTCTGTACTCGGTACTACGTTACCGACAGCATAGCAGAGAGACGGGCCCTTGAAGGGACTTTTATGTGAGACGCAAACTTGTTCGTAGCGTGGTAGCTTCGTTGTGATAATATGTGTATATGTATCACGTCATTGCTTCGGGAGATTCCCCAACTTCTTTCCTACTAACTACATACATGTACTTTCTAAGCCGCTGTGGGTCTAGGGTCAAAGAGCTGAGTTTTCGCTCTTTTAATCTGAGGTTTTGTTCGAACAGTTCATCTTCCAATTCTTGGTCGATATACTTCTTAATAATGATAAAATCCCCGTCCCTCTGAGTGGGAAGATTAGCATATGCGTTTGGTCCAAACCAGAATCGGGAAAGCACATGGGTGTGACATACCGAGTCCCACTCCCAGGGTAATCCATGGATTCTTTTGGAGGCTGAGGAACTATGATTTTATCACCGCTTTTCCAGAGACTTGAGGCGTACGACGTTTGAGAAAGACCCGATTTTGAGCCTGTCTCGCCAAAATCAATATGGGGTTCGTCAAAGTCAGTGGCAATGGTCTCCGAGAGACGTGTGGAAACAGCATCAGGTTCATCAATGCCTTGTCCGAGCTTCGTGTGATGCCGTTCACGGTATTTCAGCACCGCTCTGCGTCGTAAAATGGCCGCCCTCCGCCGGTCAGCGACAACCCGAGAGGCCTGAGGATACTTGTGGGCGACGTGCTGTTTGTTAAAGGGTTCAAAGGCTGTGGCATCGAGCTTCTTGGTGCCTAGAAGCCGATCATGTTGCGCTGGACGGCGGACGATCATGCTTATCTGGAAGAGGCAATCAACAGTGGTGACAAGACCACCATAAATCTGCTGCGCTTCGGTCTCATCGTCGTCGTCTTGGACCGTTCCTCCTTGAGAGCGCCGGAAGACGATGACCGCGTCGAAGCAAACGCCAACCTAAAGACCGCCTCCCGGGTCCTTGACCACGTCTACGCGGAGAGCGGCCGTCGCTACGGCGACGTCGTGGCCAGGCCTCCTTTGGTCCGAGAGACGAGGAAGTCCAAAGTCGACGATGAGTTCCAACAGCTGGTCTTGCAGATTATCGTCTCGCCGCTTTCCAAGATCTCGAGGATTTTGAGGGGAGATCGTTGAGATTTTGGTTTTGTTTTTTGGAAATAATATCCTTCTTCAGGCGACAAGGTCGTGAGGCGTTCCATGGTTCTCAAGCGTCCTAAACTTTTGTGGTTGTTACCTCTTCAACATACCATCTTTTGGAGATTAAAGTGTGTAAGTTGTGTCAGACGGCTGGTTCACAGTGACTTGATGTGTCGGGAAGTGCCAGCTATTACCTTGTACTTAAAACTAATAGACCCGCCTGAGTCTCCGGCAGGGAGTCGAATCAGGCCCCTTTCGCCTGACTGACTGACTACCAACTACCCAGGTACTCACGTATGCTGTACTGTATTTAGGCAGGCTCGTAGGTAACACCCATGGATAGCTATGTACTTGGTGTAGATAACGTACACAGTACACGGTACACGGTACACGGTACATACCCATTGGCGAGTACCTATGTACTCGCGCACAGGACGAATTTCCACTCGTGTGGCTTGCTTGCTAATTACATGCACACACTCACACTCACTCCCTTACTCCACGTGGTCGGTGCCGCCGGCGTCGAAATCGATCAGCGCGTCGCTCAGGATGCGCAAGATGTGGCAGAACTCCATGACGTTGTAGCGCGTCCCGACTTCTTCCAGGAGGTAGACGTAGTCGAGGAGGACCCTCCTCGCGGAGGCGTAACCGCCGTTTTGGGCCACGCCGGAGAAGGAGATCGGTCCGCCGTGCTGGATGAATGTTTTCGCGGGGCACGTCGTTGTGGTTGTGGTTGTCGGGTCCATACCCATACCCATGTCGAGATCGGTGTCGGTGTCGGTGGTGGTGGTGATGGGATAGCTGGTGAAGCCGACTTCGCCGACGAGGTTCCAGTCTACGGGGTCAAGAAGTTCAAATGCCTCGCGCTCCCTGTGTGCTGGCTGCTCATGGGGGTCGTCTGTCTCGTCCGTCTCATCCGGCTGGGGCATCACGAAGACATATAGCCCAAGCACGAGCGCGGCGTGCACCAGAGCGACCTCCGCTTCGTAGGATGTCCCGTCAATGAGCCGCCGTCTCGACATGCACGAGAAGGTGTGCGCTGCATGGAGACATGCCCGCCGGGCCGCAGCCGTTTGTGACCAGGTCGCAATGTCGTCGAGTGCATTTTTCGCTCTCTCGGCCCCGTCCCTGCCGGACGCGACCTCAAACACCCCAAGGTCGGCCGTCATCGACAGGTTCAAGTGGTGCCAGAAAGCCTCGCAGTTGGGGTTGATGATGCGCATGGTTTCGCCGTACGACCTCCACATCTTGATGAGGAACGGGGCAATCGCGGCGGCGTGCTCGTCGTGGGCGAACATCTCTGCTGGGATCGGTAGATTCGAATGCCCGGTAGTGAGAGGGCTGTACCGGTGTCTGGCTTCTGCACTACAAGAAGCATTCACATTAGCAGTGGCATATTAAAGCGCGCGCGCGCACGTGTGATGAGTCGTCTCGAGAGCACCCGCTCGCTAAGGAGACCTACATTCGAATCCAGGCGGTCGAGCAAAGACCAAAGAACCCTATTTCACTAGCATCCGAGGCTGGCGGGAGAATGGCCGCATCAAGCTGCGGAATCATCAGAGGCATGATGGTCAATGAACCAGCGTCGACCATCTGCGACCATCGCCTTTCGGTGGCGGCCTGAAATAACTCCGTCTTGCAGGGGAAATAGAAATGGAGCTGCTCGGTTCGGATGATGGGGTTGTGATCGTCGAGGTGGGAGAAGAACGAGTCTGTCATTATCAGACACAGAATCAATCTCTTGATCGATTCTATGCGTGTCCAAGCCCTCCATGTGGCGACATTGTCCAGGGATTGGAACATGGCTGCCGAGAGCTGCTCGCCTTCTTGGGGGTGGAATAGCCCGTGCCGCTGAGCGGCGTTGATTGTCTCGTTGTACAGGAGTCGAGAATGTTCGGGCAGGGGCTGCTTCGGGTTGATGGCAGCCAACGACAACAGGAGGAGTGAAGCTGCCAGGGTGCTCAGGAACTCGCCCAGTTGAACGTCTCCTTGTGAGCTCACGACCAAGTCGCGGCGGCATCTCTCGATCGCGTTGCCCAGGTGAGATCGCACGAATCTCTTTGCACGGACCGAATCCAGCATGGTCAGCCCCATCAGGCACATGGGGAACAAGAGGGTGCTGGAGGTCTTCTTCGCCGAGAATGTCGGTTCGTGGATGAATGGCATCAGGTGGTGGAAACGTCGAAAGTAGACATCGAGGCTGACGTCCAGGATCGCCGTCGAGGGAAATTTTGCGGGCGTGCCACTGTCTTGACTGCACGAATCACTCGCACCGCTTCTGATACTCGCTGCAACGCCTCTGTCGGCTACAGGCGAGAACGGCGTGTTCGCAGGCGTGCAGTCTTCGATCAATCTTGCCCTCCGTTCTTCGTCCAAGCCCCATCTTGATTCCGCAAACTCCCCCGGAGCAGCCTGCGATGGTCGAGTCCCTTCATGCCCGGCCGGACTTTGCTGCGAGTAGATATTATCCTCTGGGAAAGAAGCCAGATCCCGCCAGAGAGTGTGGATCAGTCGCCGGGCCGTCTGTTTCTTGGTTGGCCAGAGGCTTGCGATCTTTGCGTATCTCTCATCGGAGATATTGTCCTTGGGGGGCGAGTGGAGCGGTAGCTGACGAGGCCAGTACGGGGACAGACTGAGCCGTGCATCATTTGTAAAACTCATGAAATCGAAATGTGAGACGTCATCCCATATATTGGCCGCCAGAGGCAAGTCTTGAAGTCCCAGCCATTCTTCAAAGCCTGCGAGCGGAGGTGCAGCCCTGCGCTCCACAGGATTATCGAAGTCGACCAAGGGTTTGACTCGTTGTGAGGCATGGAGATTCGCTGGATCTTGAGGGTCTCCCAGTCCCTGCCTTTGGCTATCTATGCCGGCCACCAAGTTGTCATCGTTGGAACATTGCACCTGCATCGATTGGACCGGGCGACCATCCCGACGCGATTGAGAAAATGAACTGGCGCAACCTCCAGCTAGCTTGTCTCCATCTGTGTGCGAATCGGTGAGCGGTGGAGAGGCAACAATCTCTCTGTCAGAAGTCGAATGGTGGTTCCTGATATGCCGCATGAGCACATCGCTTCGTGCATATTCACGGCCGCAGTGTGAGCACTTGAACGGCTTCTCTCCTGTATGGGCTCTCTGGTGACGCTTGAGATGTTCGGCCTTGCCAAATTTCCTGTCACAATACAGGCATTTCTTATTGCGCTGAGCTTTGGTGGCCATTGAGGCGGGGGGAAGTTGGGAAAATAGTCGATCAGGTCCAGCGCTGAGGACGAATGACTATATCAATCAATCAGTCAATCAATCAATCGAGATCTGAGGCACTGAGGTCCGGGTGTTTCGGTGGGCCACAACAGCGAAGCCATGGCCCCATCGCGAATACGAATGTGGCAACCAGATGAAGAGACCAAGTTCCGGACAAATGTCCAACCAGGATGAAGCAAAAAGATGGAAGAAAATGTTCGTCGTGGGACAAAATTGCGGAGGCTCCTCCACATCCCCAGGCAGTCGTCACTGGGGAATGAAGCCCAGTACGAGGTAATGCCAGGGGATTCGGGAATCGGAGGTAGATGGAATTCCCCAATGGCGGTGCTCTATACATAGACATACATATCTGGATACATGCATAACCCCATTCTGAGCGCGGAGTCTCGAAATCTGTACACTTATGCCTCTCTACTGCCACACCAAAAACACATTTCTACCTATTATCGGGAGTGGTGAAGCACCATAATGCATCGTCATTGCCATCATGACTATTTAGTGCACAGCCTTTTCGCATCTCAACCTTGCAAAATGCTTCTGGACATGGAGGATCATCCTCTGACAGCTCTTCCACGTTACCCTGCTTCCAATGTTCGCTCCCTTTAGCGACCCTCCAATGATTGGTCTGTGTTGGAGCCTGACTTCTCCTGACTGTCTTCACCTGGGGCATTGTGTGGACGATGAGTCTTTCCGAGTGCTCCCTCTCTCACCATGTGGACAGCTGTGTGGTTGGTGAGGTATTGAGATGGGTCCTTGATGAATAGTGCGCAGATAATGGCAATAACCCCAAAGGGAATAGACGAGTAGAACACTCTCCGGAAGGCGAACGCATATGCCTCTCTGTATGCCATTGCCGCGGCGTGCTCAATGGCTGGAGTGATGCCTGGAACCGAGGCGAAAGCGCCTGGAATACCGACAGCGTTCTGCGCCGTGGCAGGAATCAGAGCCGCAAGTTGCTGAGGGGAGAGATTGTGAGCAGTCGCAACCTCCGCAATCTTCTTTGGAATCTCGTTCTTAACCACACCGTTGAGGATGGTGTTGAAGACTTTTGGCGTTTTGGTCAGCGTGAGAGAACTAAGATTCCTGTCCCAGATCCACGTACCTGCATTGCCCACACTCCCGCCACCGCTGCGAAAGGTGCCAATCAGTCCGGATGCAATTCCCAAGTGACGCAGTGGGACATTTAGTCCGGCGATCACATAGCAGATTAGGGTGATCATGGCAAAGGGTCCCACCCCAAAGAACTGGAACGCCATCCATCCTGCCCGATTGGATGGTACGACACCAGCATAGGCGGCCGTGAAGACGGTCTGAAAGACCAGCAATACAATCACCTGCAGCTTCAAATGGCCAAACTTGCCCATGAAAAGTGTCAAGATGCCGCCAAAGAGGAGTTGTGCAGCACCGTTGGGAAGAGCGATGATGCCGATCTGAATGGGGTCGCTCGTGAACATATAGAGCGAACCCTGAGGGAGCAGGCCTGCAAAAGAATAGAAAACGACGCCTGGAGGTATAGTATCAGCAATCGTCGGTTGACCGCGAAATCCCAAGCGGAAGCACACTCACCTGCCACGAAGACCACAACCAGAAGAACGGTAAACTCGCGCACTTGGCGAAACAAAGAATAGGGGAAGAAGGGTTGCTTCGCCAGTGTAAAGTCGTAGACGAAACAAGCCGTCAGAGTCAAGAAACCCACAGTGATGGGCGCAATCACCGAGGCCGAATCCCAGGCATGTCCATCGGTCCCAGCCCAGGTCAGTCCAATCAGGAAAATCGTCAGTCCTCCCGTATACAAGAGGAAGCCGACATAGTCGACGTCCTTTACTTGCTGCCAACGCGACTTGGAGAAGTCATACTGTGGACGTGGGGGTGGCCAATAGAAGACCAAAGTCCCAGCTAAACTCAAGACGCCGTATATAATGCCCTGGATCAGTCAGAATGCGGATCTGGGCCAGTTGACATAAAATTCGAAACTCACAATGTAGTAGCACCATCGCCATTTCGCAGCCGTGTTGGCGTTCAAAGTTGTCGCTATTAGCGTCCCCGCGAATGCCCAGGGTAGAATCATAGCACATTCGGTAAGACCTGGACGGATTGTCAGGCGTCGGCATCAAGAGGATGAAAGCTTCTCCTTACCAAGGAGGCCTCTCCATTTGTTTGGGACAAGTTCCTGGATTCCGGCGTAGCTGACAAAAATGATACCACACCCAAAGCCAATGACGGTTGATGCAGCGGCAAGCATGAGCGTCGACTTTGCGGTACATGCTATAATCTGCAAGGGGTCATCAGCTTTCGATTCCACAATATAACGTGGTCGGGTCTTACCGAGCCAACAATAGCAATAACCTCGCCCGCCACGACTGTCCATCGACGGCCGAAGACGTCGGACAATGAGCCTGCGAGGGAGAAGCTCACAGAGGACGCGATGCTCCAGCCACCCACAATCCAGGAAATATGTTCAGTGTCGCCGAGGTCGGTGCCGATGGGAACCAAAATCCCTGTGACCAGAATAAAGCCACAAGAAATCGGACAGACGTACGAGAATGACAGCGACTTGCAGCAAACGTCAGCACACCCAACCACATGTTGCTCATAACGGCATAGCTACCAGGATTGCTAGTAGAGTCGGCCATGTCAAGGTCTCCGCCTTTTCTGGATTGTCCTCCAAAGCGGCTTGGTGTGGATTGTCCAGGTCGAGCGGAATTTCGTGAATAGGGACATGACGAGCCTCTGATCTGGCATGTTCAACAGTCTCAACTTCGGTGCCTGAGGCTTTTTCTTCAATTGAGGCAGACATTTTTGAACAGATATTTCAGAGTAAGTCCTTTTGGGGAGGGTCACCAGGTGAGAATCAGAAAAAGAAAGGATGAGCTGCAGGAAGTCTGGAGGTATAGGATGAATCGAAATGTTGATAATTCAGCAATGGTCTGTAAAACGATACCCTGTCCCACGCGAGAAGGGTTCTCCACCCGATCAGAGGACCCGACACTGATTTGCCGCACAAATGACAACTCCCTTTTCACCCGTTAGCGTAGCAGGACTAACGCCAGGTGGACCGGGTAATAGAATGATTTCAGGGAATGACAGTAAATCTAGGTGCTCAAAGATCGCGTGGATCGAGAGAATGCTCGGGTTCGACCAGCCCGCTTGTAGCGTTCGAGTCAGTCGTCGATGAAGGAAAACCCCATCTGCTTCAACAGGCCCCACAACCTCACGGCCATCAGTCATTTCGAGTCCTCACACATCAACTGCCGCAAGGGAGATAGATGTATGGCCGTAGGAATTGCCGCAGCCAAGGTCGTTACCCCGAATAATGCCGGAACATAAAATACAACAGATCAACCTGAACCCAGGGAAACTATGAACGAGCCCCACATGAGGTGGGCGCGATACCACAAGGCTGTCTATGAACGACAGCTTTGTCCGGGGTACCCCACATAGTAGTAGAAAACACCTGGGGTTAGCGATGGCTTGGGAGGGGAAGGGGGCGCGAATGACAAATGCGGATATAGTCCATGGGCGGTTCGCATTTCGATGTCTTCCAGCAACGCCACGTCGATGCTTTGAGAAGACGGCAATCACTTATTGTATCTGCTTGGCTTTGGAATATGATGATGATGATGATGATGATGATGATGGAAAAGTGCCGGATCGATTTGCTGTCAGGCATACCTCTCAAGGAGCTTCTGGGACTGTCAATTAGTCCAGATAACACATAGGCAGAGAACCTGGGGTCATCCTCCGCTGCTGCACACTTACTAAATCGCGGCATCAAGACCTCGCTCGCCATCCTGCAACAAGATTTTCGAACACTTTTCAGCATCTTCTGGTAGAGATTCTAAGGCTCGAAATTCCTTTTCCCGATTCTGCACCGCCTGTTGGTGGTCGTTTGCAGTGGTCTCTGTAACCGAGATCCCTCCGACGACAAAGTGCAAAGACAGGACTCAAAACTCTGTGGCTCGAAGAGCGATTTTCAATTGGACTGGTTGTTGGTAGGTGCCGCCAAAATTTTCAAGCCGTGTCCATTGCATCACCAATTGTCCCGTTGCTACCGTTGCTGCCGTTGATGGCAAATGTAACATGGCCTGCGTCGCTGATGAAGTGTTTCTCGAAATCATTGACAAGTTTGATTGATCTCGCCGGGTCGTAGAACAATTTGTAACTTCTTTGAACATCTTCAATGCCGACTTCCTTCGCCTTTCGCTTCTGACTCAGCAATGTGGACGTAGTGATGATATTACTCGCATATCGCAATCCAGATTCCTGGCCGATCTTGGTGAGCAGAGCAAGCGCATCTGCCGAGAGGTCAACTTCCTCCTCCTGGGCGCGAATCGCGAGGATCTGCGAGATTTCGTCGGCTGCGTATGGCTGGGTACTAATTATGACGAGGCGGTCCAGGAAATCCAACGGGAGGCCATGCGGCGAGCTGTAGGTCGTCCCTCGGATTCGAGTGTTCCCTCGGTTGCTCGCCATGATGACGATTGGAGCCAGATCTGCTTCCAAGGCACGATTGATGTATGAATAACACTCGATGTCAAGCATGTGCACTTCGTCAATGAACAACACACCGGGAATGATCTCGGCTTTCCCTTCTTCCTTCCATTCTCCAACCTTGGTGTTGATCTGATCACGTACCTCACTCCGTATCTCACCCGTGTCGCCAGAAAAGAGGGCCAGGAACCCCTGCGTTCTCGAGTTGATGACATCGATCTCATGCAAGCTGACGGTGTGAACAACCTCCTTCCGTACTTGGAGTTCGCCCTCTGGACATTGCACGAACTTGGTGTCTGCGCCCATTGCGTCGTAGTCGCGTGAGCGCGTGTATGATCTCCCTAGTTTCGTGATCTTCCCTGAGGATTTATCAATTGAGATGACATCACCAGCCATGACTCTCTCCTTGGTCATTGAATCAATCATTTTGGTGCCCATGTCATAGACTGTTTCCATATCAGTTGTTTTGATGGTGAGTTTGCCTTGTTTGTTGCCCTAACCCGATCTTGTCAATTGAGGTCCAAACACATCGGAGAACCATGGCTTACCCCCGAGACGCTTCTATCTATTTGGATTTCGACCACCTCGCCTTCGATGATCTCACTTTCCTCCTTGATCCTCACACCGATGGACTTGCGGAATGCTTGGGTCAAAGCCTCTGTTTTGGACATTTCAAGGGAGAAGATTTCGGTAGATGCGAGCATTGTGAAGGGGACATCGGGTCCTAAGGATTGTGCCATGGCCATTGCGATGGCAGTTTTGCCTGTGCTAGGAGGACCAGCGACCAAAACTGCTCTTCCAGCAATCTTGCCCTCTTTCACCATTTGGAGGATGACGGCAGCCGCTTTCCGTGCTTTTTCTTGCCCGATTAACCCTTGGGAAGAGGCTCTAGGCTCCAAGGTCGCAAGATCCACACCAAGGCCTCGGATATGGGAATGGGCAGCAATGAGGTTGAGGCCGCGAACCTCACGGCTCTCGGACACGGTTGTTATGGGCTGGCGCGAGTCAGTGGAGCAACAACCAAAGAGACAGACATGAACTCACTGCCGCCATTTTCCAACAATGGTAGAATCTGAGGCGAAGACGAAGGGATCACTTTGAGGAGAGGTAGATGAATAGGCACCAAGCATCGATATTTCCAGTCCAGTCCAAAGCTTTCCTGCGGATAGTGAACAAATTCACGAGAACCGACTTTCTCTGAGGAAAGTTGGCGCAGTCGGACGACCTTCCGTTTTCTGCGGAACCCACGTCACGCAGAAATCCTGGACTGCGACCCAACGACAATCTACTTGGGTACGAGGTACATGAGCCTTTGTATGTACGTTGATGCAGCAAGGGTACCGACATACCCGGTGCTTTACATTGGGCGAACCCAAAGGAAACAATTTGGACGGGAAAGCACATTGTCTTTGTCAATTGCCACAGATGTCATATCCCAAAGTTCCCGTATATTCGACTTCCAGTGTATCCTGAGGCTGCCTGCGCTCGCTGTCTAGTACATTCGCCTCGCGTTTATCCCTCCCTTCAATACATGAAAACATATTGCGCTTTCCTGAACCATCGCGGCTGCATTTCTAGGCATCTGGCACTTCGGCCACTCAGTGAGAATCATATTTGCTACCGAGTGGCTTGGGAGTCAATGCACCGGCACTATGGAAAAATCACCTTCCAAACCCCCGGGCTCGTCTCCAGCAATTAGTTCTCCTTCACTGCTGCGAGACCCGCGACTCAGAGGGAAACGCAAACCGGTGCATGCGGCTGAGGATGTTGGCGCTGTCATGGACCGGGCTTCGGCCAGCAAGACGACACCTACAGCCTCGACAAGTACCCGGCCGAGCTCGGTCAGTACGCTGCGCAATCCTCCTACCATGCCGTCCGAACAATCTGAAGTCGAAAATGCCTTCTTCTCCCATGTCACAGCCGCCATTGAAACCGATTTCTGGAGGCGCAGAAGCGAGTACCTTTCCTCCCAAGGCAAGGCTGCTCAACGAGAGCTCGAAAGGGAACAAGGAATGGAGAATCCGTTCCCCGACCTTATTAAAGAGGCTGAACAGAAGACGCGTCGGTTTCAGTATGAACATAGCATTGCCAAAAAGCAGGAAACCGGTTGCCAGGAGAAGACACAGAAATCCGGAGGCAGCTTCATACGACTCTTGCTAGAGATCGTCAATGCTAAGGATGACCAAATCAAGACATTAACTGATCAAGTTGGGGCTATTCAACAAGAACTGGAAGGTCTCCGCTCGCAACAAATGGAGCAGGACGAGCGGTCGAAAGCCAGTATGCAAAGGCTAGAAGAATTCCAACCCCAGCAATTGTCGGTAGACCAGTGCCTGAAGAAATTCGACGATAAACTGAACAATATAGACTCCAAAGTGGAAAGGCATGATGCGAAACACACGGAAGCAGATCGAAGCATCCGAAACCTCGAAAAGACGCAGTCTCAACACCGTGCCGACCTTGAAGGTATCAAAGCATACTCAGAGACACTGGGGACCAACCAGGATACCCTGCGGGAGTCAATGAATGGTCTACAACAGAGTTCAACATCCATGGATGAGCGCATCCAAGAACTGGCAAGTATACCGGCAGCGTTAGCAAGGGTGAACGAAGAAGAGATCCAGAAGGTCCAAACACAGTTGAAGGTAACACAGAAGCAGGTCTTAGACCAGACTGAACGAACTCGGCAGAGTCTCAATGTCAAACTCGAGGCCATGCAAGAAGAGTGGAAAACGAAATATGGCAAGTTCCATCCACAGTCCGAGTCGCTCTCTTCTACGATCGAGCAAGTTCTCGCCACGAAATGTGATGGTCTAGGGTCAGACCTGGAGTCGCTCTCTCGTCGGGTTTCAACGCTCGAGGAAGCTGTCAAAACATCTGATGCTGCCACCGCGGCCAACCACGCACAAGTCGAGACCGTTCAAAAGGAGATCGCTTCTTTGGCGAAAGAAGTTTTTGGACAACTATCAACGCTTAAAGCAACCACAGCTGGACTGGATACCGCAAGAATGGCCGAAGACGTGAAAATCCTACGGATGCAACTGGCCAAACAGGCGAACAAGCAACAAGACCTGGCAGAATCCTTCGGTCAAGAGATACAATCACTGAACGATCGGTTGCCCAAGGCCGACATGGGTGACCATGACCTAGCTAACATGGCGGCACGGGGGTGGGATGCCTATGAAACTCTTAAAGCAGAATTGGCAGGTCTACGTGAATGGTGTGAGCTAAGGAATCGAGATGGTGCCGATCAATCTGCCAAGCACGACGAGCAGATTAATCAGTTACAGGCAGACCAGGACAAGCTCGCGTATTTCCATGGCCGCTTGACAAAACGCCATGAAAGTCTCTCGCAACATTTGACATTTATTAAGGAGGGTCCTGCCGGCAAACCTGTTCTTGAATACAACAAGAAGCAGCTCGACGCCTTGATTGAGCAAGCGATGGAAATTCCTGTCAAACGAGACGTTGAGAATTTATATTCTATGTATGGGAATCTGGCGAAACAAGTTCAAAATGTGACCACCTCGATTGGTCGAGTCGAAACAGACCTGGCGACTTGCCAAGACTTGGTCAACAGGAATGCTTATGCTTCGCAGCGGGTTGAGGATGAGACTACGAGTCGTCCTACGGTGCTCCAAATCTCAAGCAGTGACGATGACCACCGGGAGGAAGAAATCCCGGAAACGACGAAGAAAACAATAAAATCACCGCCCAGCTCTGCGTTGAAGAAGCAACCGCTCGGTGGTGAAACTCGTCCGCCTACAAGTAGCTTAAAACGCAAGCGCTCACAGAGAGAAGAATTGTCTACCAACCCCCCGGATGATATCGATGACGAGCCTCTTGCGCCCCGCAGGCGAAAAGCTCGACGTTAGGTGGCTCGTAGACTTGGTTTTGGACACGCCGTTCTTTTGTTTCCATTTTAGCAGAGACCACGAATCAACTTTGAAGGATGTCTTCGCGAAGCGGAAAATCTCCAGGCGTGATACGGGGTCACACCATGTCGCCACGGGTTGTTAAAAATTGCCCTACTGCCATGACCGTTGGTTTTGAAAAGTTGTGGGAGATGCACGCTTGATAATGATGATTGATGAATACAATGAGGATAAACCCCCGAAAATAACAGGGTCTAATACTTCATGAGAAGATGGGTATCGTTTTTACTCCCCAATGCAGTAGGCAATGACTCTCATGGTTTTGATGTTTGATGAAAACATCAGTTGGACAACCTTGTCAGGGCATGAGAGGAGAAGCTCTGATAGCGCTCAAGTTTGGAGAGAGGCTAGTAAACTGTGGTCCAGGTACGTGGGTGATCAGCGGTGATTGGTTGAAATACTCGTGCCTCAGCCTTGTTAATGCCTAGAACATCTTAGCTCAGACCTTTGCGTGAGTTCCGCCATTAGAGTCTTGGCATCTATCCATTGCGCTGAGCCCCGTCGTTCCCTGTCCCGCCCGTCCCGCTTTGTGAGGCCATGTTCAATTGATCGAAAGAACCATGATATCCACCCTGTCAGAATAGAATGATCGCATTCCCCTCCAATTTTCGGATTGATGAGGACGAAACAGGATAAAATTTGGTGATGAGTCGCAATGTCACCGACAACTACTTGTATCAATATTCAATCCCACCTCAAGGGCTCCTCGGCTCCGACAGGCCGGAAATCATCGGACTTACACGGTCGAACCATTGGGCCTTTTAGTCATCTTTCGCTGTCAAGGAGAGATTCCTCTGTCGAATCAATCCATGGAGTCGTGGGCCAGATTGACCATCTCTCCTCTCGTCTCGAGTGGTGCTTGATCCACCTTTGACGCATATCGGCGACTGTGACGGCTCGCCTTTGGAGGCCCCGGTCGCCCATTTTCTCAAATGTGACATCTAGATTAGCTCTCTAGAGCGATCACCTAGCGCCTGCTCGCTCTCCACGGCCTTTGGACTGGTTTCCCAAAGAGGAGTACTTTTCCCTTGACCTATCAGACCATTACACCATGTCCCCCGCTCGGTGTTTGTCGTGCTCGAACTCATACTAGTGTTGCGTGCCATCCACGCCACTGCGCGAGAGATCTTCTTGTCCCCGTCGAGGTTTCTGTCGTAGAATCCCTCCACAAATACGAAAAGGTCCTGCTGAGCCGTTTTTGGCGTGTCTTGAGGCTCCAGTCTTGTGTAGCCACGACTCAGCGCCCTTGCTTCGCCTGTCAAGCTCTTTTCCTGCGAACCTATCGTCCACGCCTAGTTGGCACGACTCGAAGGATCTATTTCTACTGGCACCAGATATGGCTGTCCCTGTGTCCTCGAGTGGCCCGTCCACAACACCGTCCCTGGCCCGAGTTGACGCCCGGGACCCCGAGACCACAGCGGACGTGGTCCAGGAGTTTCTCGAACGGGACGGTGCCGTCATCGTAACGAACCTGATCACCGCCGAACAGGCGGCGCAGATCCGGCGCGATCTCAAACCACATTTTGACGCCGACGGGGGCGATAAGAGCGGCTTCTTCCCCAACACGACGCGGCGGGCCATCGGGCTCTTGGGCAAATCGGCCACGTGCGTCGACCTGGCCCTCAACCCCCTCTTCAACGAAGTGGCGTCCCGACTCCTGACGTCCAAGTTCGAGTACTGGATCGGCCAAGAGAGGCAGTTGGCCGTGTCCAAGCCGCAGATCTCCAGCACCGTCGGGTTCCAGGTGAACCCGGGCAGCAGGCAGCAGGGCCTGCATCGGGACGACATCGACTACCACGTCCGGTCGGGCCACGACTCTGTGCTGATTGGCTGCGTGGTCGCGACGGTCAAGACGACTCGAGAGAACGGCGCCACCGTCCTCATCCCGGGCTCTCACCGATGGAAGGACGATCGCTGTCCGTACGACCACGAGGCGGTGCCGGCCGAGCTGGAGCCGGGCGACGCCACCATCTTTCTGGGGAGCACATACGTGAGTATTTTGGCAGGCCTGTCTCTCTGTCTCTCTTACCGCGGCGGCACTGACATAAGTCTCCTTTTGCAATCTAGCACGCGGGTGGTGCTAACCAGACAACGTGAGTTTTTTGTTGTTGTTTTTTTGCCACTTTATTCTCGAGGCCCTACACGGAGGGTAGGAAGCCCACTATGGCGAACGAGAATTGACTCGCGTATCTTGAAAAACAGGGACCAAGTCCGGGAGACAGTCGGCATCTTTCTCACAAAAGGTTTGGTAGCCCCCCAATAGTTTTACTTCACTCTACTCTCTCACCCTCCACTTTTTCTTTTACCCCCCCTTACCCCCCCCCCCCCCCCCTTCTCTCATCTCTCATCTCTCAATCTCTCGATCTCGTGATCTCACCACAGATCTAATCCAGGAATGTACCGCCAAGTCGAGAACCAATACCTGACGGTCCCACCATCGGTGGCGTCGTCGCTGCCCACAAAGGCGCAGCGCCTGCTCGGGTACGGGGTGAGTCCGCCGTTCTGCGGCTTCGCCACGGATTACAAGGACCCCATGCAGGAGTTGTTTGGCGTCGTGGATGCCGAGACGGTCGTGTTGTGAGGAGACACCCGAGCCAGGACCCCGCGAGGGAGGGATGAGGGAGAGACAGAGGGGGAGAGAGAGAGGCTCGGCGGATAAGACAAACTTGCGGATAAACAAGGAAGTACAAGCAGCCTCGTCCTTCAAGGGTAGGAGAAAGAGACGAAATGGAGCGAGACCACGTTTGGTAGTCTGTCTAGGTGTTCACTTGGGTAAAAAGCCTCGTCGTTTTCGTCTCAACATCCCTCCTTCACATCCTACAACATCAGAACTAACCTATCGAAACATCCCTCACATACTTGGAAAAGGACCAAATCAGACTTTCTTACAAAGGTATCACTCACCCCGCCTGTGGTCCCCTGGGCCAGCAACCTCTGAGGGGCATCTTTGCAGACTTGACCTGCCTGTGCCAGATTCCTTTCCCGGTCCTCTGGGGCGACGGCTTGGGAAATCGGCTCCAGCGATTCGCTCTCGTCTTTCGATCCCTACGTCGCTGCTCTTGGTCATATTTCAGAATATACCGAAGAGGCGTCTCCTCGCGAGGCAATGGGTTGCCCACCTGGTCCCGTAGAGTGTGGGTAAGAGGCGTCGGTCGACGGAATGGTAGGCGTACTGAAGGAACACCATTCTCATCGCATCCCATGATATATTCCAATTTAGGGAACATGGGTATCTCACACTCACGTGGCAGGATGCTCTTCGGAGCACTTGAGATAGCTCTTTCCACCAATTCGCAAGACGTTTGATTTCTGCTCTTCTTCCTTTGATCCCGTGTACTAGAGCTCCCATGGTCGTTGAACGCTGCAGTATGAGATCGTTTGTCTCCGCGCGAATTTCTGCAACTTCCGACAGATTCCTGAGAGCTATTACGCAGCTCTTCGACGACCATGTCAATGTTCTTCCGGCCCGCTTCGACTTTCGCATGTAGGGCATAAATATCGCAACCAGTGAATCTTGTTTCGGTAGTTTGTTGCTGTGGTCTTTGTCGCTGTGTCTTCTTCTGCAGTTTCGACTTCTTCGAGCTTGTTTTCTTGTTTGAATACGCGATTCGGAGATTCGAAGATGCATCTTTGAAGCATTTAGTATTTTCTTGGTGAATGGACAAGGGTCCATGAGATAAATTCCGTCTCCACGGTGATGGAACTTTTCTGACCGTACCAGAAATGACATTGGTCGCAGCGGGAGATTCTGATGAAGACTTATGTCGGACAGAGTACTTCATGGCTGTGCTGTTCATGCCGCATTCTGTTGCATCAGAAGGGTCTCTGAACTGGCAGGGAGGGTGTGGTTTGTATTGTGCATCGGGCATGCAAGCATCTGGTGTACATTTCCCATGGCTGGTCCCACCATTTGACAACACATCTATTGTGCCTTCTCGTATTCCGTCACGAACTCTGCTTTGGGTGTTGTTATTGTGGTTTGCAGCGGTGCGTTTTACTGAAGGGTATCTGGTGCTCAACCTATACGCTGCACTTGAGAGGCTTCTCTGACGACCGGGCAATCGGGTTCCATCATCACCGTCAATGTCACTGGGCGGGAGTGAATAGATCGACCTTCCGGTACAAAAAGACCCCGAGGCAATAAGGGGTTTGACAGAGACCTTTCTCCTTTTTAATTTCCTCATCGAAGACACTCCATTCCCATGCCGATGCTCTGCACGGTGCTCGCAGTCCGAGTCTTCAATGACAATACAGATTGGCATGCCTTTGCTTGGTCGATTTCCTGTTTCCAAATCCTTTGTAGTTGGGTCAGTGTTATGCGATTGAATCAACGCAGTACTGTCAGGCTTGGAGATTCCTGGATCTTTGTCCTCAATTGTTAGATATATCACCCCAGTCTGAGAGAGCGGTGTCCGGGTCTTGGAACGGTTTTGTAGGGCATCAGACTGAAAGTTCGCCACCCTTGAACCATTAATAGGACATCGAGTGATTGGCTCTACAGTTGGTATGGCGCTTCGATCCTGTTGTGTAGTGTCATCGTTCAGGGCAGTCAACGTATCAGAGGCAGTTTCAGACGAGTCAGCTCGAGAAGCCGAAAAAAGTCTGTTATCGCATGCAATCACCCTCTCGCATCCATTGCCCAAATTTAAATCATGATTGGTTGTAGACGGAGTTGGGGTGGCATCTCCTGAAGCAGGAAGAGTCTGTCCTCTGTCCACATGCTTGTCTGTATCGATCTGTCCATTGAATGGGGCCGGTCGCGATTCTGAGGGGGGATATTCATGAGTTTTCAGAAGGTGCTGTGAGTGGAAGGACCAGGGCTTCTTTGCTGGTTTAGCAATGGTTGAAGTCGTGGCCACCAGAGTCTGTCTGGAGTCAGTGGTAGAGGCAATTGTAGCTCTTTTTCTCTTATCCAGGTATTCTCCACTTGTGTAGGAATGGACTTTACTTCCAATAGGGTCGAGGGCAAACGCCTTTCTGTTTGTGATGATGTGCTCCAATGCCAATGATCTCTCCGGGCTAGATCCAAGCGAGGACTGTGTAGGAGCCAGTCCGTCCTCAGTGCTGTCGTCTTCGAGCTCTTGTTCTCCTTCTGATTCACCTTTGTAGCCGGTCATTTGTTCATCGACCTCTGAGCTTGATTCCAGTTCTTCGTCCTGAAGACTATTTGGAACTCGGTACTGCCGTCTCAGGTTCAGCGCGCGACGCTGGAGCTTTGTTGGTTGGCGTATATTACCAGTGCGGAGGGCGACTGCGATCCTGGCCGCCGCGTCGATCTGAATGTCACTGTCAGGACTGCATCAATAAGTTGGCCGTAAAGAAAGTCATCGATCGATGAACAACAGGAAAGGCACTCACAGGAGTCAGCGCAAAGCCCAACTCGTAATGTAACAACTGTGACAAGAGCCACAAATAGTCTTGAGTATCCAAACGTCGATCCGCATTCGGATCCGGATCACCGTCAGTAAGAGTCAAGGGGCGAACCCGATTCTGCAAATCATGAGTTGATTCGCGTGAAAACCATTGAACTTTCAGGTCTTGAGGGAGTCCGACTTGGAGGCCATATTCTGGGGACCAGCGCCATCGATCCTCCTTGTAGAGGTCACGCAAGATGGTCGACTCAGCTTCATACAGTTTCCCCATCTTACCCAAGGTGAGATCGATCAACTGGCACTGTTGCGTCCTCTGGGATGCCAGACTTTGGAGAATATTCTCATCCATGTTCGTCCGCATCACAACTTCTCGTACCGAAGAACGGTATGGTGACAAGCGAAGCAGAATAGGGACGGGACCGGAGACGACAGAGGTGCCTTCAAGCAACGATTTGGAGGCTCTTGATCAACCGGAGATGGTGGGTTTAGAGAGGCTTGAGGCTTGAGGCTTGGAAGAAAGAGGATAGAAACTGCAGGCCTAGGTTAAAAGACGAAAGCAAAGGAAAAGTTTTGTACAGCGACCACAGGTTTCAGTCACCTCTGCCAGACCCAGACTTCTGACCGCCGTGTCGAACCGTACAGGCGGTCTAACTGCGTGCAGTCTGTAATATTACCACCAGCGAGTCTCCCAAAACTGACTGAAGTTCCTGCGAGCTCATCACAAAAGGGGAGCTGTCACTGATTGGATGCAGATGGAGGCCATAGGGAGTATGTCTGTGCTGGTAAGGCAGACCGGGACAGGCGAGAAGTCTTGAGCCACCAAAGGTAGGAAGATAGAAAGAAGAGGTAAAAGACGGTGCAATGGATGGCGAGTGGTCTATCGTTCTGATGGAAGAGGGGGATGTTGGTACGCTGGAAGTCTGTCATGTAGTGAGTGCGGAAGGTGCTTCTTGTGGCTGAAGCAATAATCAAAGCACAGGTTTTCCGGATTCCAGCACGACGACCTCGAGTCTACTTCACACGAATAAAAGTTCGGTGGAAAAATCAAGCTAGAAGCACAGAGGACAAGAAAGACTTCACCACATACTTCAATGCTCCAACTTTTCCCATCTCGAAATCGCCTAATGAGGCTCTTTCGACGTATCCAGTAATCACATGTGAATCAATCCTTCATGGTCGACTTTTCCTCTACTCCGCTTGTTGTGCATCAACCCTCTGCTGCTAAGCGTGTTTGAAGCTTTGCCATACCGTCTAAACCTGATCGTAAAGCTAGAATTCAACGCCATGGCGAGCCGGTCCCTCCAAAGACGCCCTCATCTCCTTCGCCCTCCTTGAAACAATTGGCATAATTTGTAGCGCTGGATCGGTCGGATCACGCTCCGCGATCGTCAAGTAGAGCCGCTCCAGTTTCTGGATTAAGGAGCTCAACAATGCCGGCGCATGTTGGGCCAGGTCAGAAATTTCAGGATCCTAAGCAAGATGTTAGGACACGAAGAAAAAGTTGCTTGACGAGCACTTACAGCAAGGTCGACCGCATTGAATGCGGCAGAGATCCACTCCAGTCTTTGAGCCGTATTGGTCGTCAGACTATTTCCGATGGTGACAGCGATGGAAAAGGCGATCAGTGGGGAGACATCAGTCGATAAATACTCCGGAGTGAAGTGGATGAACAGCTTGTCAAACAGCTCTGCCGGTTGGGATGACTGGAGCCATTTGATTGAGGCCTCCTCGTACCGACCCTCATTCATCAATTGGCTGATCTCCTCCAACTCCAGCTCCTCCTTAGTTTTCTGTCGTGGAACCATAGGTCGGGGGACGGCTCGTGGCGAAGGAGTCATACGGGCCGTCGATACTTGGCGAGACACTGGAGATGAGCTGGTTTCGCCGAGAAGTGCAAGCTGTCGACGATCCCTAAGAATTTGGCCTTGAAAGGCCACTTGGGTGTCGGACATTTGCTGCAATGCCTCAGCAGTGGCCTGAATGACTTGGCCCAACTTTTCGAGCCTCGTCAGGTCATTTCGTCGGTCACTCTCTAGTTGACGGATTTCACTTCGCAGGCGGACTTCAACTTCAGATGCGGCCTTTTCAGCTGCTGAAGCGGCTAGCGTCTTAAACGTCGGCACAACATGTTTCTGCATAAGATCGTTGAGCCGAGTCTCAATCTCCTTTGAAATCTTCTGCGAGACTGTATCTGCTATCGTCCGAGTCATCTGCGGACTCTGCAGAACTCCATTGAGCACAATAGGCAGTTGCACGCCCAGTTCATGGGGGACGAGAGAATGGAGGGATTTCGCCACGGCTTCTCCCACTTGAGTACCCACGGCTTGGACTGTAGCCGCTGTAAGTGCTGGAACCATTGATTGTTGCATTTGAGCCGAAAGAATGCGGGAAAGTGATTTTTCAACGTTGGTGCTCAAAGTTGTCGACACCAACCGAAGGAGAGCTTCCTGACGGGCTATGGCAGCAGAGTCTTGGACATTCCGATCATTTTGGAGGTTATGATAGAGAGAGTCCAGCTCTTTACGAAACTCCGTTGATACGACTTTCTCGACCTTCTTCAGTTCCTTGTCAAGCCAACCACCTGAAATTCCGACAGTAACGGCTTCAGGTTTCACAGATGTCTCGGCGGTTGAAGGAAGCGGGACAACTCCAGCCACTGGAGCAGAAGTCTGCTCATCAATGGGGGCTACATCCGCAGATGCTGGGGTGGATATAGCCGTTGAGACTGGTTTCGCACTTGAATCGGCGAGCGCGACTTTATCAGGGAGCCGTGGTTCGGTGGATGGGGCAGACTTCTTCTTGCTCTTCTTTGTTTCCTTTGCAACAGGAGTTTCGATATTAGTCACCTCTGTGAGTGGTTCAGCGGCTTTGCTGGGAGGCTGCGTAACCGCTGGTTTGCCAAGTTCCAAATCCTCGGCCTGAACAGTCTCCACACGTTCCGCAGAAGACGAGGACTTCTTTGCTTGCTTCTTCTTCAAGCTCTTACTTGTTGGACCTTCTTCGACTGGACTCCTGTCTCGGGGGCCCTCCTCGATCACTGTCCCAAGGCGCAGCTCTTTCAACGTGACGAAGCCTTCCTTCGCAGCATCAATCCCGTGAACCACCTTGTAGTTCGCATTCCAGCCTAGGTCTTCCTTGGTAATGTTGAGGCACGTAACACCTTTTGAATGCACGACGTAGAGTTCGAATAGCGGCGTCTTTTCGTCGATAGCCCTCTGCTCCTCTGCAGTTCGATAGATTGGAAGAAGCTCAACGCTTCTGAGCTGTCCTTTGCCTGCAAAAGACATTTCACGGATGCCACTCATGCAGGCCGTGGAATCAGGCTTTGGTAGTTCCGGGTCCTTTTCAGCAATGCGCTGCACGTATGCAGCCTGTGTCAGAGAAGTGCTGATCGTATAACGGGGCGCGGAGAGGTGAATGAAGAAGAGTGAGTTTCTGGTCGGGTGCCCGACAACAATAAACCCGCTATTTGCGTGATAACACACGCTGCAGATCGCGTCAGTCTCATTCTCGTGAGGGAAATTGATCTCCTGAACAGCTTTGCCGAGAGCGATATCCCAGAGTTGAAGAGTATGATTCTGCCTCAGGCCGACAAGAACGTAGCGGAGCGCGCCTCCTTTGACATATGGACGAGCTTTGTCTACGAATAGAACCGACGTTGGCCACGACTTCTCCGCTGGGGATGCGGTGGAAAGGGACAAGATCGGGAGGTCGATAGTCATGCTAGCTAGCCGAGTTGAGGTGGCATTTGACTCATCAATCAGCTTGCGAATGTCCCAGAATCGTAATCGTCCGGTCTTGTCCAAAGAAACGATTAAAGTGTCATCTTCGCTGAAGATGAAGTCTTTCCCAGCCTTCCCAGTAGAGATCTGAAGGGACCTTTCCTGGAAGAATTTATCGACATCGACGCGCCGATTGTGCTCACTGATACCGTACCGTGGAGAGAGCGCCGTTGCTGGCCAGACGAGATGGATTGCCTTACCGCGTCCAATGGCGAAGAACTCTGGGTGACGAGAGCTTCTCTTTGCGCGGGTCTTGAGTACACCCCCAGATGCGTTCTCGTCAGCCGGAGGGTAAGGCGGAAAAATGAGGCTTTCAGTATCAAGTGCGTTTTTCTCGAATAGATCATTTCCGTCCTTGTTGATGGTAGCATAATACACAGTGCCACTGACCCCAGTTCCTAGGAGCGCCTGGTCATCCGATGATTCCCCAGCAGCAGAGGTTGTGCAGAGAGCAACATTGAATATTCGATCATGAGAACTCTTGAAGACTTGTCGGTCACTGCCGTCGTCTTGTCTGATGATGCGCATGCCGCCGTTCTTCACTAAGGCATAGGCAATGTACTTTGATGTCGCAGCTGCCAAAGAACGGTCCAACTGGTCGAAATCTTTCTTGAGTCTTGATATCTCCATCACGCCATCATCTCTAATGCCAACGCTCGAAGGTTTTGACAAGTGCAAAGTGATCGAAACAAAGGGCTTGATGGGGAAATTGTAGACTGGGACGATCCTGGAGGACTCCTTGTTTGGTGACTCTTCCGTGTCTTCCCAGTCATCCCCACCGTCAGCTGGCTGCTCGACGCTCTTGTCCGCGCCAGAGCCTAGTTCCTGTTTGACACCGTTGCTGGCGTTCAGATGTATCTCCTTGCCTTCGTCTTTCAACTTGGTCTCCACTGAGACAGGAGCGACAACCTCTTCCGTTGGAACTGCATCTTCTGTCTCAGTCTCTCGAGTTGCTCCGGTAACTGAGCCATCGCGTGATACAGTGGCGTTCTTTGATGCCAGCGGTAGTCTAGGAGTGAGTATTTTCCGCTTGGCCACTTGGTCACCTGTACCGACACGCGAATCCGACAGATCATTGCCAGACTCGACATTTGATCGAGGGACATTGACATTGGCAGGTTCGGAAGCAGTGGTGCCCTCTTTAGGAGTTTGTGTTCGAGAGGCATTCAAAGATGCCTGTAGTGCTTCAAATGGGTTCGTATAGGTGAAGAGGGGTTGACTCTGGGTTGGTGGCTTAGTGTCATTACCAAGAGCTCCAAACAAGGCGCCCTCAGCCGCGGAACTGGATCCGAATAAAGGAGCTGATGATTCTGTACTCGTAGGCTTAGCTTCTATAGTATTCGCATCGGACTTTGCATCTGTTGACGGAGACCGCGGTTTTTCAACGAGATTCTGGCGCGTGCTGATGGAATTGCCAAGATGGGTTTTGCTGAGGAGCTTGAGCAGCGCATCCTGCGAGGCATCACGATCAGGCGTAGAATTTTCTTGGTCGCCTCTACCGCCGCCACCACCTTGATCCTCCAGGTTCAGCGGAGATTGGGCTTTTGAGCCGCCTTGGGCAGGCGAA